GCGTCGTGGCCGCCTCCACCGTCTCCTGGCGCCGCCGGCCGTCAGCCACTTCGGGGCTGGAAGCAAGGCCGCGTTCCACGATAGGCCGTCCGGACCTCGATTAATCACAAATCATGAAATAAACCGGAAAAGCGCCCGGCGCGTAAAGCCCTTCGCGAAACAGCCCCTCCCTCTCCCCCACTGATAATTCCCCCTAGTTGGCCGAGTCTCCACGCACCGCGATGAAGCTATAACGGGGGAGGGGGGTGGCTAGGTTTGGTACAGCGGGGGGATAATTTGGTAATTTTGTGTTGTTGGTAATTGGTTTATGGTTCGCGTGAGGCGGCCGATAACATGCTAAGAACATTCCAGTCATTATCAAGTGCCTTTCATTAGCAGCAGCGCGGGGCCAAAGGTCGAGCTTGCACAGCAAGGCGGGCTGAAATGGGTCAAACTCGATGCTGGCCTCGGTCAAAGTGGGTTTTTAAATCCCCCACCCCTTAAAAAACTAAAAAGAAAATTTTAAAAAAATGAAGAAAAGCATCGTGTTGCCCGACCAATGGATTCCTCATTCGGAGAGCAATCCATTGGTGGGGTCACACGTGCGGTACGAGTCCCGGTTAGCAACTCTGGAGCTCAAAACGCGTTCGGGGTTTGGACCGCCTCCACTTCTGGCAAATCCACTGCGCGACGCTGCAAACAGCTCCAACGTAACCGCTTTGGGCTTTTTAACGCGCGGCAGGGCGACACATGCGACTGGAGGCGACAGATCGCGGGGGCGGGAACCACCATCTGGAAAAAGTGCATAGCGCCCAATGCAGAATCGAGTTATGAAACCAAACTGCGAAATAATTGTGTCCGCGGGCATTGTTCGCGCAATTAAATCACTTTGGCCGCGAGCGGCTGACAGATGGCCGGGCGCCACCCTAGTGGAATCCCCCCACCCCCACCCCAGCCCTCCCCCTTTCACAGTGTGCCGCGCGCTCAGTCGGATACCACACTCCACACATAAATAAATGTGTTACGCATAACGAAGCGCAGCAAACAACAAGTGCGCACAAACTATTTGCCCCCTCCCTCCCTCTCAAGAGTGCAATGCTCTCTCTCTCTCTCTCTCTCTCTCTCTCTCTCTCTCTTTCTCGCTCTCTCTCTCTCTCTCGCCACGTCTTCCTATATCCCTCATCCCCCTCTCACTGACATTCTCTCTCTCTCCCTTACACTCGATCGAGGGAGAAAAAAAAAGGAAATGATAATCGAATTTCACCGCGCCATCCGCCTTCACGCCATGTCGCCGCCGATGCACATGTTTTCTTGTCATTGACGTGTGTGTGTGTGTGTGTGACTCGTGCTCACTTGTACTGTCCGGTCACCGCTCTCAGCCCGGGGTTGTTGCCGTGCGAATACCGCCTGCCAATAAACGTAGAGCGCATTATTCGCAGTAACGTCTGGGAATGGAATCGCCGCATGCAGAAGTCAGGGGCGGGGGGCACTCACCTGCACGCGGCTCGAGTAAACTAGCAATCATGAAAACGTCGTTGAGAAGCACTTAATCTCAAAGTAAAATGACATGAATTTGTCAAAACGCAAGATTTTCAAAAAAAAAATTCCACCTAAAATTTTACGTAATAGTAACTATTGGGATTTTTTTAAATACGTATTTGTACTTTTCACAAAATCGCGTTTCCCCTAAAAATCCTTCCTTTTGAAAAAAAAATGGTCTGGGTCGGCCGGTATTCGAACCCGCGGCGTCGGTGGTGACCCTAACATCGGCCTGATGCCCCGCTGTCGCCGCCTGTCAGCGCGTATGACGGTGATAGTTTCCAAACTCGGTTGCCATCATGCAATCGGATCGCGTGCCGCCGCGCCGCCGCGCCGCCCAGCAGGCAGTGCAGGCGGTGCAGCACCGAGACGTGATAACAATTTACGTGGCGGCTTTACACTGTGTGAGAGCGTGTGTGTGTGTGTGTGTCCGCGTTGTCGTGAGTGTGTGTGGGAGAGAGAGAGAGAGGCGATGAGCAATGTCTCCTTCACCCAGAGAAATGGTTTCTAGATTTTCAATTTTCTTGGTTTTTATAAGAAAAAAATCTTAACGCAAGAAAATTTTTCTACGTGTAAGAAATAAAATTTTTGAATAAAATAAAAATTTCTGAAAAAAAAAACTTAATTTTTTTTCTTGATTTAAGAATTTTTTTTGGATGTTGAGAGCGGCAAACCGTTACAGAAACCAGGCAGAGAGAGGGGTGAAGAAAATTTGGAACTCATTTTTAACGCGTTCATTGCTGTTTCCTAGTCACCTCCCTCGTTATTCCGAAATCAATCCGACTTCAACCTGCCGTGCCGAACGGTGCTACAATATTCCGTGCCAACGACGACGGTTCCTTCGGACCTCACCGGCACTTGGTGACAGATGAAATAAGCCCCGCCGGCCAACCTGTACGCACCGAAACGACATCATGGGCAAATCAAACTCGATACAAAATAAAAAGGGGGAGGGGGAGGGAACTTCCCTTTGCAAGGCGTCAAGAACGTCGAGACCGCCGCAAGGCCCGCAAATTCGATTTGGCCCCGCAATTGTGGCTCAAAAGGAGCGCCCAGGGAAATTGATTGGATCGAGGAAAGAAGTGTGTGTCTGTGTGTGTGCACCCCCTCCCCCTTTTCACATAAATGCGACTCCAGATTTTCGTGTCGGACTCAGGCAATCCTCCATCAAGACACATTCATGGCTTGGACGCCGAGTAATGAGTGTGATGATACGTCCTGCGTTATGATTCCGTTTTGCTCCCCCGTCTCCGCGGGCGCTCCGGGGCGGTCCCCGAGGGAACGCCTCAAAACGGTCCCCCGGGACGCAGTGGGCCAGAAGACCGGTGGAGGCGGCCAAAAACTCTCGACGCGTTTTGAGCTCCAGTCGCTAAACGGGACTCGAACCGAACGTGTGACCCCACCAACGGATTCCTCGTTCGGAGATCAAGCCACTGGGTTGACACGTGCGGTCCGAGTCCTGTTTAGCGACTCTGGAGCTCGAAGCGCGTCTTTGGCGGCCTGCGCCGGCCTTCCGGCCCACTGTGCGAGGCAACGCCACCAACGAGTCCCGCGGGAGGCGGGGGAGGGGGGCCGGCCGACGAGCCGCTTGTTCCGAGCGACAATGCCGACCCAACGCAAAACTCGCAAAACGCGCCTTGCTTATTTCCTTATTTTGTCGCGAAACTAGGCAAACCGGGTTACGCGCGCACAATGCCCACCGGCAAATCATAACCTCACTTTGTGCGCAAGGCGACGTGCGGTGGTGTGAGTGTCTGCGAGGACGTGTCGACCCTGCCGCCAACAGGGCGTTTTCAGTTTGTAAAATTCGTTTTTCTACTTTTGAGGTGGCTTGCTGTGATGACGAACCGAAGGATCCGAAGCTGGCATCGTTCACGGCGCGTGTCGCAACAGGACACGCGCACATGCACACACACACACACCTGGCGAGCGGCCGTTTGCGTGTGATACTCCGATCCCCCTCCGCTATTTTATTGCGACGCGCGTCCGCTTCCTGTGCAGGTTCCTGTGCGGGGCTGCGTGGCAAAGGGGTGGCATGGCCGAGACACGACGCCGATTCAAATTGTCACCAGCAACTCTAAGGAAGGCGTGGGCAAGGGGTAACCAACTCGATATTATTTTCATGTACACTGATTTCATTTAGAGTATGATGACATTGTGATTTCTTTTGATTATTTTATTATTATTATGAACATCACTGATTGTAGGAGATTCTGAACGATCATGTTGATTGTTGGGGAATTTTGGGGATTTTTTGAGCGACGACCTTGAAAAACTGTCAAAGTGTCGAAAATCAAATATTGCTGACTTTGGGCGGCCACTGCGTCCAGTTTAGTTGCGGTCAAAGGCCTCCCTCAACGCCATAGTATTCTGAAGATCCCACTCTTTCCTGCCCGACTCGGGAAGACTCTGACCGCAGCTAGGTTGAGAGCAGTGGTCTCGCAAAATGGTCAAAAAGTGAATGAATTTCAGAAAGTAGCTGTTTTTGCTGACTTTGGGCGGCTACTGCGTCCAATTTAGTTGCGGTCAAAGGCCTCCCTCAACGTAATAGTATTCGGAAGACCCTACTCTTTCATGCCCCGGCTCGGGAAGGCTTTGACCGCTTATAGTTTGGAAGCAGTGGTCTCGCAAAAAAGTCAAAAAAATGAATGAATTTCAGAAAGTAGCTGTTTTTACTGACTTTGGGCGGCTACTGAGTCCAATTTAGTTGCGGTCAAAGGCCTCCCTCAACGTCATAGTATTCGGAAGACCCTACTCTTTCATGCCCCGGCTCGGGAAGGCTTTGACCGCTGATACTTTGGGAGCAGTGGCCTCGCAAAAATGGTCAAAAGTGATTGAATCCTAGTGATTTTATCGAATGATGTTGATTATTTCACTGATAACCAACTAGTCGTGCAATTATTATCTTGAGTTGGGTACCCTTTGGGCGTCGGGGTTGGGGAACCTGCCCCTGCCCACGGTTAGAAAGGTTAGGTTAGAAAGGCTCCCATCGCGGGACACAAAGTGAGTTGAAATGCTTGTATTCCGGAGCGCGGCATTTCTGTGCACGAAGTTTGCCTGCAACGCCGCGCGCGCTACCCACCAGTGAGGGGTGCGGGTTGGGCCGCCTGTGCATTCCCGGTCGACAAGTGCACCAGCGCCCCCTCTCCCTCCCTCTCTCTGTCTCTCTCCCCTCCCCCCGGGCCCTGGTGCCGTGCCGACTCCGACTGCCACCTGCTTTGTTTCTTCCGCCGGGAAATAATGCAATTATACTATTAGGGCGAAATCAATCTCTGGCCAGGCAGTGCGATACCGTTTCCACAGCAGGCTGATTCCGAGAGTCGTTTTCGTCTATCCGAACGTGTGACCCCACCAATGGATTGCTCTCCGAACGAGGAATCCGTTGGTGGGGTCACACGTTCGGTTCGAGTGCCATTTAGCGACTCTGGAGCTCAAAACGCGTCTTTGGCCGCCTCCACCGGCCTTCCGGCAAGTGTACTGACCTGGACGCGGACCTCCGGCAGGCTGACCTTCATGGCCAGCTCCTCCCTGGAGTACACGTCGGGGTAGTGGCTCTTCTCGAAGGCCCGCTCCAGCTCGTGGAGCTGGTAGGTGGTGAAGGTGGTCCGGTTGCGGCGGTGCTTCTTCTTGTCGGACATGGAGCTGCCGTCGCTGTCGCCGCCCCCGCCGCCCCCGCCGCCTCCGCCGCCGCCGCCCCCGCCGCTCGCGTCGCCCGCATCGTGGTCCTCGTCGCTGTCGCCGCCGGGGCCCAGGCGGCAGCGGAGGTCCGACGGCGACGCCGCGTCCGAGTGGCAGCTGTTCTCACCTGAAATTTAAAAAAAAAATTCTTAAAAAAACTTTAAAAAAATTTAACCAAAAAAATTAAAAAAAATAAAGAATTTCTAAAAAAAAGTTTAACTTTAAAAAACTTTAAAAAATAAAAAAATTTAAAAGAAATTTTGAACTTAAAAATTTTTGAAACATTAATTTTCTGTTGAAATGTTAGTTTTGAGAATGAAAACAAGTCCAACAAGACGTTTATTGTGAAACAAATCAGTTCGCGAGCAGCTTTACAGCGACTAAATGCACCGCCACCAAAAGTGGTGCCATTCGCCTGCAAGTGCCCCCAAACCCCCTCTCTCCCTCCCTTTTTTTCCAGGACTGCGACAGCAAACACAAACCAATTACCCCCCGGTTTTTATTTTTCCTGCCTCCCTGTGGCGACTGGCCGGACTGGCCATTACGACGCATTAATCAGATGTCGGAATTACTCGCCAAGACTAATTCTTCAGCCGCGGTTAAGTCGGTGGCCCCTTATCAAGCGCTGCGGGGGGAGGGGAGGGGGGGGGGTCACCGAGAGGAGGGGGAGGGGAGGGGGGAAAGCACGGCGCATTAATATGTATAGGACTCAGTGCGTGTTGTGGCAGCGGCTATAGCCAGGTGTCTGCATGCTCGTTGTTCGCTCCCACCCCTGCCCCCTCTCGCCACCCCTCACCACCCTCCCCCTCCCCCCACCCCCACCGAAGCGGCACTGCCTTCTCCATTACGAAGAGCGCCCTCGTGAGCAGTGTATGTGCTTGTTCACATCTTTATCAATGAGCAATTCCTTTTTAGGTCTCCGTTCCCAGTTTGGTTTTGCAGTGCCATTTCACGGGCGGATGGTGCGGAAAGCACGGGGCGCTGATGGAAACTGCGGCCCCCGGTGGTACTCGAACCCACGCCCTCTGGCCCCGCTTTAATCCAGCTCGCCTCATTAGCCCTAACTCACACGTAATTTAAAGCAATTATCTCCACGCGCCAACCAGCGCGAGGGTTGCCAACCCGACGCCCGGCCGGCGCGGCCTTTCACCCACTACAGGGTTGCCAACTCTGAGGTGGCTAAACGCCGCTAAACACAATGTAACGACTTAGCCGATCGCCCAAGAGCGCTTTCCTTGCTTCGAAAGCAAGGGCTACCGATATGGGTCACCCCGGCCACCCCTCGCATTCAAATCAGGCAGTGTAGCCGTTTGCAATCGACGCCCCGCGACGCTCCCACCCCCAGTCTCTTCCCAGCAATTACCCCCATCGGCTCTCCTTTTCTACAACGCGGGTCCGAGCGAAAAGGACTTCCGGAGGCCGCCGTCAGAGGCCGCCGTCAGAGGCCGCCGTCAGAGAGGCCACTGGCCACTCACTCACGACTGACATTGACAAATGGTTTGTTTGTCTGACGGACATGATCCCAGGATAATTGAGTGCATGACTTCGAAAGGGCGGCTCTGGGGTTGGCAACACTGTGGCGGCGGGGCGGGCCGACGAGGGGCCCAACGGCCGGGGAGGGAAGGCCAAACACAGTGGGCCAGAAGACCGGCGCCGCCGGCCAAAACTTGAGACGCGCTTTGAGCTCAGTCGCTCAACAGGAATCGAATTGCCGTCGAAGAAGCAAGTCGTGACAAATTTCTGCTGGGTCCAAAATTTCCGCGCCGTGTGTGGCTGTTTGTCGCCCTTTAGTTAAACTTCCCCGCTACTGCCCCCCTCCCTCTCTCCCTCTCTCTCCCCTTCGTTTACCCTGTCACGATAGGACTTTACCAGCTCATAATTGCTTTTCCGAATTCATCACGTTTTTCCGTGTTTTCTAGTAATTTGTTCCGTGCGCCCGTGCCGGACCTTTTTTTCCTATCTCTCTCTCTCTCTCGCTCTCTTTCCCTCTCTCCCTTTTTTCTCTCTTCCCCTCTTCCTTTTTTTTCCGTCGCAAACTCTGCGCTGACCACCCAGCAGTTGCATTATTACAAAGTGGCGAAGCGCGGGACTGTTTGACATATGAAAACGGCGGATGGGGATACGATTGATCAGGCCGTGCATATCTGTGTGTGCGTGTGCGTGTGTGTGTGAAGTGAACGATACTACCTTGGAGTACCTGCTCTGCACAGACACGAGTCCTTTAGTCTGATGTAGGAGGCGGGTGGTGTCCCATGCATGCAGTACATGTGTGTGTGTGCGTGTGTGTGTGAGAGAGAGTCAGAGAGGGTGAATGAATATGTGTTTGTGCATGTCCGAGAGAGAGAGAGAGAGAGAGAGAGAGAGAGAGAGAGAGAGAGAGAGAGAGAGAGACTGATGGGTAGTCCGGTACCCGCACGCGAGCAGGCAAGCACCCTCTGCGGGTTCAGTGCTGACAGCGAGTTCCGTTGGCAGCCATGGCGTTACCGGCGTTGCCCGCGCGTTGCCCGCCCTGCCCCGGGCAGCAGAATGCCCCACATCGATCCACACCATTAGGATCTCGGGGCGAGGAGCAGAGAGAAGCCCTCCGGATTATAATCCGCGACAAATTCATGGCCGTGATAATAGTGCGGCCCCCAAATACAATACGGAACAATGTCCGAGGGTGTTTCGGGTTCCTTCCGAAACATGATCGGCGTGCTGAGGCGTGCGTGGGTGGCGGGCCTTCCCCCCCCCCCTTCCCGCCCGCTAATCGTAAACACTTTTCCCCTACACTGGCTGCGGAAGGGCGAGGGAGGGCGCGGGCAGTCGCGGAGCGGTGCTCTGTCTCTCTCGCACCCCCAGCTGCCCTGCGGCACGCCCGTGAGTGCGACAGAGACAGAGCGACTGGGGTGCGACAGTGCTAGACAGTGCGAGGCTGGGCAGCCGCGAAAAGGCGACGCCCAGCGCGGCCGACCGTGGCGTCGCACAGTGGGCCAGAAGACCGGTGGAGGCGGCCAAAATCCCGGACGCGTTTTGAGCTCCAGAGTCGCTAAATGGGACTCGAACCGAACGTGTGACCCCACCAATGGATTGCTCTCCGAACGAGGAATCCATTGGTGGGGTCACATGTCCGGTTCGAGTCCTATCTTCTGGCCCACTTGTTCTTTTTGTCTGCGGAAAGGAGTGCCACTGCAAGACGCATCGTTCGTCGCCAAAGCTGCCGTCTGAATGGCGGTCCATTAGACTTCGGGGCGGTGGGAAGGGGCCACGTGCTGAGAGGCCATTCCGCGTTATAAATGATTTCGGCCCAGGCGTGGGTTCGACTCCCGGTGTCGCCAGATCATTTCTACCGCTATTTTTCTTTGTTTTTTAGTCGGATGTTCAAACGCCAAACTAAACCCCATCCAACGGGTTGATTTTTATAACCGGGAAAATACAAACAACAACAACAACAACAACAACAACAACAAAAGAAGAATACAGGCGAATATCCCGCGTCAGTTTTGGAAAATAATTACCATCCTTTTTGACAATAATGCGACACATCCGTCGAGGCCTCGTTTCACACGCTGCAAGCCAATCTACAGTGTCGTGTTGCCTCGGTACCCTTCGGGCCTTGGGTTTCGCACGTGCCACCCCCCACCCCCTCTTTCCCGTCACACACACACACACACACACAACGGTCGCTATCGTGACTACTAAAATAATAGTCGCGCGTGGTCACCCCGTTCGTGAAGCGGGCTTGCACACGCACGCACACACACACACACACGCACATATTCACGCCATGGAGTGATCTGTTTACGAACTCGTCACCCTGCACACGCTAAATTAGGGGTGGCTGTGGCAGCGAGGGAGGCCGACCGCCGAGCGCGCGCAAGTCTAGTTCCCGCCAAAACGGGGAAATCACAGATCCCAACTGCCAAAGACCGACCAATAAGCTATAGTCTCTTGAATTTTGTTTGAAATTTATTTTTAACGGTGTGTCACTCCATTGTCACGAGTCAATTTTTTGGCCGGACGAGTAAAACTAATAATATTAAACTTGAGTTCAACTGTAATTTATTTTTTTTGCAACGACACGGGAATATTGGCATCGAGTGATCCATGGGAGACTCTTTTGACCCATTTCCTCGTTTGTTGACGTTGTTCTTTCTTTGTTCTTCCTTCTTTCTTTCTTTTTTCTCTCTTTTTCGCGGCGTCCGTGCGAGGACGATACATGGCAGATAGCGTTTGAAAGGCGGCGGCGCGGCTCGACTCGCTCTTAACATTTTCGTCCGGTAATCTAATAATCTCCATCCGACCTTTTTTGTCTGCCACGCCTGCTCTGGTCCAGCCACTATCGCGTCCCGATCGAGAGAGAGAAAGAGACGGACAGACAGAAGCAAAGTGGCAGCGTTAAGCCTACACTCAGCAACTCATTAGCCTAATTAAAACGCTAATGTGACAAACGAATTACACGTCTGGGGCCTAGCTACACTCCGGGATAGGCCTTCATAGCGCGTGTTGGCTCACGATGACAATCTTACGCGCGCTCAGGTTAGTTGGCTTCGGAGCCTGGGGGAAATTGAAAATTATTGATATTGAATCACTTGAGAGTGGCAAGATTTTAGACGGATTGATTTAGTTCAGATGAAAGTGAGCATTCATTCATTCATTCATTCATTCATTCATTCATTCATTCATTCATTCATTCATTCATTCATTCATTCATTCATTCATTCATCCATTCATTCATTCATTCATTCATTCATTCATTCGTTCATTCATTCATCAAATATTATCTATTGTACTATTGTACATGACAGAAGCGGGAACAAAAATTCGCACCTCGCTTTTGCGGTGAATATCGATCCGGCACGGCGGTGGTTAAAACCGAACCCTTTTCGACGCCAATCAAACAGGGTTCCTGTTCTCGTGGCGAGGCATTGGTGCGTGAGTGGGCTGTGGAGAGGAAGGCCTACGGTAGCAGCTACGGGCCAAAGGCCACTCTGCCCTCCGACCCGGCATGCTAGGCCTGCCCAACACCGGTAGCACTCCGACAGACTCGGCGCAGTCATCGCCCTCAAAAAAAAAAAAACATTTCGACTCTGTCCAAAAAAAACCTGACCACCTTGTTAGCCTCTACGATACACCCAATTTGAAAAGAGTGCACATTTGCTGGGACTGTAAAGGGAGTCAGTTGTCAGAGTGTGGATAAAAATTCACAAAAATTGGAGGTCAGTTAACTGGTCAACTGAACAACAGTGTGTGTACTACAAACGCGATTTAAAAAAACTGAAAAACTTGCATCAAAGGCCAAGACTTTACATCGGAAAAAGATGAACAAAGCAACAGTGTACATCCTGCAGCAGTCAGAGTGCCGGCACAGGCAGGAAGAGTGTGGAGCAGGGCTGGGAAATACCTAGGTAAAAAGTACCTAGGTACTGTACCTAGGTACTTTTTTGGTACCTATAACTGTACCTAGGTACTCAAGTCACAATTGTAACTGTACCTGTACCTAGGTACATTTTGGGCAGTAACTTTACCTAGAACTGCAAGTACTTTTACAGGTACTTTTGGGCGCGAATGTAGGGAAAGACGGGTAATGAGATGCGCTCAAAACAGTGCGGGGATAAAGAAAGACACTCAGAGGACTGCCTGTTTTCGGGGAAGAAACAGATATTCGGCCCCTCCCCTTTTTATGTTCTTCCTCCGGGCTCCATGTGGCAGGTCTGGTCACCACAACGCAGAGGACTTGCACTATGAAACAATGGACACATCTCAGCGGGGTGTTTGGGGTTTGTCCCTAAAATGCGTTACCGGAACCATCCCATTATAGGAGCGAGGTCAAGGATGGTCCCTGGAGCTGCCGGCGATGCGGCGCGACGAATCGGGGTTGTAAACAGCACACACGTTGGCATGAAAAGGGTCATTGACGCAAGAAAGTTTAAAGGGACGAAAAAGTCGCGCGAGGTTTGTTTTGGTTGCGTTACTGGGCGGATGTGTTGAAATATCAAAATATCTGAAAGTACCTGAAAAGTACCTAGGTATTTTGCCAAAGTACCTGTAACTGTACCTAGGTACTGAGCTCGATCAAGTACCTGTAACTGTACCTAGGTACTTTTTTGATCCAGTATCTGTATCTGTACCTAGGTAAAAATATAAAGTATCTGTCCCAGCCCTGGTGTGGAGGAGAGAGAGATCCCGCGCTTGTGTGTGTGTGCATGTGCGTGCGTGTGTGTGTGTGCGCGTGTGAGAGAGACATCCGATTAGCCGCTACAAATTGGTCAGATGAAACAAGACGTCAGACTCCATATGTGTTATTCATCACATGGGTCCATCTCGGCTTCCCGCGCTCAGAGCCCCGCCCGGCCCCGCCGGCCCCGCCCCCGCACTTCGACAGACAGACAGGCTGCCGATGACGGGCGGGACTTACTGCTCCAATAATATTTGCTTCTCTCTCTCTCTCTCTCTCTCTCTCTCTCTCTCTCTCTCTCTCTTCTCTCTCTGCCTGTGTCCTCCCTATTTTACCGAGCGATTTTTGCAGTCTCAAATAAAGCGGCCGAGATTTGACAAAAGCGAACTGACTGGCATTTTTACAGTTAAAAAACAAGCGGAGGAAAAGTATAAATGTGATCAAAGTTTGGTGACCGTGGGTTGCCAACTTTACCCTTCCGCAAAAAAAAATGAAAGAAAAAAAGACTCTTAGAGCGGTTGCCTAAATGAAACGAAGTGGGGCCGGTGGGGCTCTAAAAGGCCCCAGTGCAGGTGCATGGCTGGCTGGCTGGCTGGCCGGCCCCCAGTTTGTGGACTTACAGTGAAGCTGCAAGTCACGCCGCTCTTCCGAGAGGCGACCATTTGGAAAAACAGGGATCCACCTAAAAGGTAGTATCCACTTAAAAGCCCCACGCGCCCAGCGCGGCTAGCTCGGCCCGGCCCGGCCCGCCTGCCTGTGTTTTCACTCTGTTTTCGTTAAGTGGATCAGATTGCCTGTAATGTGTCGCTGCCCCGACACCACCGGAAAAAAAACCTCCTCTTCGTGGCAAACTCATCTCGGCCACCTTTTTACCAAGACTCTTTCACTCTTCCAGGGAAACGTGGAAATGGCAGATGGGCCATTAGGTCAATCCAAGTCTTGTAACGGCTAAGAAGTTCTGTCTCTCTCGCACCCTTACGGGGCGCCCTATGCGTGAGAGAGAGAGAGAGCAGCCACTGTTCATTCGGCATCAGCCCAGCGGGCGCAGAAATTCATTAGTTTCTAATATCCGGGCCTAAGTTGATTACCGACTCTGCCCTTGCAGCGCCTAGAGGGGAGCAAGACTTGAATTCGCCGCTGGCTTTTGATTCAGAGAGCGACAAGTTGCTGTCCTTGTCCGACAGTTCCAATCTGTAACTGCGTAAATTATTTTTCGTGATCATCGTCATGTAAACAAGGGTGTTGGCGCGGACTTTCGACGAATTTAAATCACCTTATCTGACGCTAATGTAACTTTCCTAAACAACTCACGCCACCGGCCGGCCTTCCCGCCCGATGGCTCGTTCTGTCTCTCTCGCGCCCCTTCGGAGAGTGACAGAGCGAATCGTTCTGTCTCTCTCACACCCCTTCGGAGAGTGACAGAGCGAGAAGGCCGTCATACGTGCCGCGACTTCCCGGAACGCGGCTGGTCACACACGGGGACCTTCCCGCTCAAGTACAAAGCAAGACTTTATCTAATCACTGGGTCGCTCTGTCTCTCTCGCACCCGCAGAGTGCTCAGCGGGTGCGAGAGGGACAGCACGCCGGTTCTCCGTCCACCTCGGTAATAAGTGTCTCGCGACGCGCACCAAAACGGCCAAAATCTGAAACTCAAACAGCCTGCAGACACTCGCCCCGTCTCTGTCGCGTGGGTGCGAGAGAGACAGGCTGTCACAGCTCGCCCTCGGGCGGCGCGCGGCGCGCTGTCACTCTGGAAGGCTAATTGAGAGAGAGAGAGAGAGAGAGAGAGAGAGAGAGAGAGAGAGAGAGAGAGAGAGAGAGAGAGAGAGAGAGAGAGAAAAGAGGAGAGGACGCTGTTTACAGAAGTATATTGAAGCCCGAGGGGCGGCTTCAGGCCGACGGCTGAGGCCCAGGGCACTGGAAAAGGACACTTATTGCCTCTGATTTGGGCTCGGGGACGGATCGGCTCTTGCCCTGGGGCAGAGGTCAAAGGTCGGAACAGCATTCACGCGGGGAGGACAAGAGGATGGCGAAAACGCTACCCATTTGGTTTACGTTTCACCACGGGTACCCAGGTACCCGATAGCATAAACATAGGCGATTACCACCGGTGAGTTCCTGAAAGCCAGGAACCGTTTCACCCATGCGCGTGTCTTTGTAACTAACTGCAACAATCCATTTCTGATTAGGACAATCTTACTCAACCGCGGCCCGCACAGCGCATTTCGTGTACCTGCAGTAGTGACAAATTTGTTGGCGGGTTCAAAACTGGTCACCGCGTTTTGCGATGGCCCAAATCCTGACGTCAACAAAGCGAATGGACAGCAGTGGCGGCCGGCAGGTGGTCCCGAAGTCGCTGCCAAGTACCAATCAGAACGCCGCGACACGGCGTGCAGTAATTGCCCCTCAAGAGGCCTTATCGGCGGCCTAATTAAACTAGATTCGGGTGTCGCGTGGAGCACCTCGGGGCACTCCATGTCGCCATTTCGATGAGGCGTGCTATCACGGCCAAGGCTCGGGTTCTACTCCCGGTGGCGGCGCGCGGTTTTTTGTTTCCGTTTGGCAGTGCAGCTGCCGCACAGCGGGCCAGGAGACCGGCGCCGGCGGCCAAAACTCTAGACGCGTTTTGAGCTCCAGAGTCGCTAAACAGGACACGAACCGAACGTGTGACCCCACCAATGGACTGCTCTCGGAAAGAGGAATCCATTGGTGGGGTCACACGCTCGGTTCGTGGAGGCGACACTTGACACTCACCGCCAGACTCGCCCCCAGTGCAGGAGTCCGGGGTCCTTCGCTGCGAGGGCTGCGTGCCGTTGTTGCTGTGCAGGCCCAGGATGGCGTCGATGGAGTGGCGCGGCCCGGCCGGCGGCGTGGGCGTCTTCAGGTGGTTGTTGTTGATGGTGTTGTTGTTGTTGTTCTTGAAGGGCGGGCGGTGCAGGTGCGGGTGCAGCATCATGGCGGGGTGGTGGTGGTGTCGCATCAGGTCCGCCAGGTCGGCGCTGGTCACCACGTGCGGGAAGCCGCGTGGCGCGACGGCCGGCCCCAGCGGCGCCGACCCCGGGGCCGCCGACCCTGGCGGCCCTGGCGGCGCCTGCACCTGGTCGTCGGAGTCCGAGTCCTCGTCCTTGGCGGCGGGCCGCGGCCCTGACGCCGACGGCGAGGCCGGTGGACGCGGCGCGGCGGAGTCGAGCTCGACGCTGAGCTCCGAGGAGTCCCTGCTGTCGCCGTCCATGGCTGCGTGGCTGGGTCTCGCGACGCTGGGTCTCGCGGCGTCGCGGCGCGTCGCGGCGCTGGGTCGAACGAACACTCTCCGCTGCGCGACGCTGCGCGACGCTACGCTACGCGCGGTGCTGCGGGACAGCCGGGACGGTGCCGGGACGGGCGGGCTGCGCTGCGCGGTCTCGCTCGCCGTCAGGGCCCCCTCGCCGCCGCGCCGCGGCCAGGCTCCGCCCCGTCCTCCCCCTCCACGCCGTCGCTCCCTATATTGTTTTCTCTTTCCTGCCTTCTCGGCCCGTCGCGCTGGAGCTCGCCCCAGCCTCTTGGCACTTCGGGGACCTTCGGGGAGCGTGCGTAAGCCAGGTGGCCGCAGCTGCCTGCGTTCGGCGTGCCCCCTTCCCGCCCCCTTCCCAGTGCTCGTCGTTTACGCGGCGCCCCTTTACAGTGTAGACGCGTGCCTTCGCGGGGCCGTCCGTAATCCCCCGGGCAGCCGTCACCGCCCTGGCCGTGGCCGACGACGAGCACCTGGGAGACGCTGGAGTCCGCCGGGGTCGTCGCCGAGGTCCTCGCCGAGGTCCTCGCCGCCGCCACTTTGAGTTTATTAAGGCTGTGCTTCCCGCGCCGCCCCGCCCCGCCCCGCGGCCCGGCCGGAGAGCGGGCCCACTAGCCGGCCAGGACGCGCAAAATTCGATGATGGCTTTGGAGGGATTGTATACAGTAAACAGGGGCCCCTCCTCGTGCCTCTCGGCCGCGCTGGGGTGGGGGCGCGGTGGAGGCGGGGTGGGGGCGGGGTGGGGGGCGGAGCCGGTCCCGTGACGTCACGCCGCGTGGCCAATCGCGGGCGCGCTGCCCCCACCACCGCGACCCACCCCCCTCCACCTCCCCTCTCCCGCCGGCCGCCTCTCCCTCTGAGTGCCGCTATGAGTGAGTTACCCACCGCTGTCATCACACACTAATTCCCGTCCATTTTGTTTTCACGTCTCACTCCGACACGCAAGTGACGCGAATAGGCCGTCTCTGTCTATCCGCACGAACACACACAAGCACACACACACACACACACACGCGCACACACACACGCAGACAAAGCACGCACACGCGCACACAATCCTCTCGGATTACTTCTGCCGCGGCGGGAAATCTCTCAAAAAGATAAAGCAATTAGAGGCAAGAAAACGGGAATCTGGGCCGCCACTGCTACTGTGGCGGCGTCCCCCCCCCCCTTTCCACCACCGCCAACATTGCAGCTGCGTGGACCAGGCCTTTGATAAAGCGGGTGTGTGGTTAGCGTCCCATCAATTTGCAACCCTTTGTGGCTTGGGCCCGCTCGGCCCCGCTCGGGCCCCAGGGAACAGACCCCTCCCCCCTGCCTTTCGCAAACCCATCATAGCCCCCGCCCCCTCTCACCCCTCCGGCAGCTCGAATCTAATTAAGTTCTCTGATTAACATGTTAGTTAATTACTGCCTGTCTGTGATTAGAGGCGCCACACGCCCGCACACTCACTCTATTGCAGGCACACACTCACACACACACTCACACACACGCACACACTAGCGTACACAGCATAACCATGCACACTGCTGACCACACCTCATCTGCACATGTCGAAGCCGACACAACCGTATATGTGATTAGAGTGGTCTGGACCGCGAGCTCACTGATGACGTCACAGATGACGTCACACCGCCATTGTCCCCTTGCACTCGGAGATTATCTGGCGCGGTGACATGCCATTCGGATTAACGCTATTCGCGTAAATAGACTCAAGGAAAACAGCGAAATAGGAATAAAAGCACCCCGACTCGTCGTTCAAACTTTTGGTTCGAGCAGCGTCCAAGACCCGTCCTTGCTGGTCTCTGCCAAAATGATGCCATTACCCCATGGGAGGCGGCCGCTTATTGGCTTTTAAAACTGCAGCAAAGTTAGTCCCGATTCGATTTACGCCCCGGGCACGAAAAGAATGTCCAATTCCATCAGGAAGTCATTCCAAGAGGAAGATTGTTTAAGTAATAATGTGACGCTGCAGCGCTGCAAAATGACGACGACGACAACAACAACAACAACATCAGCAGTGCGCCTCGGTATAACAAACTCCTCCAGCGCTTCACCATTATTTTTTGTCAAATTAGATTACTATTTTATGGAGCGCACCCGCTACATTTTTTCTTGCAATAAGAGGAGAGAATATTCCCCAGAATTTATTACCTCCCCCCTCCATCTTCACTCAATGAGTTTAAGTTGTGCCGAGTACCGGGTCCCCGTCTTGTAAAAGCATAACAGAAGAAAATGGGGAAGAGATGAGCACTTGGCTCCCAGCAGCGAGAGACGCTCTTAAAGTGAAATTAAATTTGGCACCGGGCGGTTCCAGGCGGTTCTGGCACCCCAGCGGACGCGGCTCGGCCAAAGAAGGGCACGGTTACCTCATTTCCAACCTAATCATGTCTTAACAAAACACAGACGTAGAAAAAAGGGGGCGCGAGTCGGCGTCGAACCTCGGACCCGCGAAACCTGGACTCCACAGTGGGCCTAGACCGACTTCTTCAATTTCGGTCGGTTTAATTCCCAGCACAAATTTAGTCAAGTCCGCAGCGCAAAATAAAAAAAAAACTTGCAGGTATTTGAACCCAAAGCCACACGATTGACGGGGCCATTCAGGCTGAAACTCCCCGCCGCCCAGATTCACACTCGGCTAGCTCCGTACGTTATTTGTTGGGAAAACACGCGTTTTTATTTAGCATAATCTCGGACGGAGTCAGTGGAGTGCGGAGGGAGGGCTTCTCCTTCCAGTGCACTGACCGCGTCCATTCAGCATTCCCACACTTGTTGGCACAATGCCGTCCCCTCGCCCTAATTAGCCCGTTTTGGATTACTTACGACGTAATTATCAAATTTTAGAACAACAACAGATTTTTTTTATTTCTTTATTTTTAGAATCTTCCTGAGGAAAGCCATGTTACTACAGTATAACAGGAGTTTTTTGTTCGTATATTTAAAATGTATGCTGGTGGTTAGTTTTTAACTCTGAACGAGGACTTTGCTCTGTGACTTTCTAACTACACAAAAATCACAATTCATTGAAATCCTTTTTATCTTAACGGACCAAACCTCCAGAACAGGGTATGAAGGATGTTTTGCATCGGTTTTTCACGATGTACATACTACTCCACTCTTCGCGGTGGGCAAGGGAGGAGCGAGGATTGGCCAGTGATATAATAACCTCCCGACCACAAACACCTTGTATAAATCCGTGTACTCCGAACCACTATCAATGCGTCCTTCATCCGGACCCAGACACGCCTTCGGCATCCTTCGGCATCCTTCGGCACTGTTTGGCCAAAACACGCCGACACACGTCTAGAGAGGACGCACACACCATGACACGGCTGAGTCGGGCTAGTCTCAGGGCCTCACCCACATCAAAAAAAAATACAAGTGCACTTCGCTGCCCTGTGGTGTGACAGTCAATGCATGCATCAGTGGGGATACTGACACGTGGATTTATTCGGTGCGTGTTTGTGTGTGCGTGAGAGAGGGAGAGAGACAGTCGCAGAACGGCGTGAGGCTTAAACAGCAGTACAGTGTGGAAGCAGTCTCCGCCTGAAGTGTGTGCAAAAACATTTGGCGCGCCTTGTAATGTCTCGTACCTCCCATTCCTTTTGTTTTTGGCAACACATCATCCGTTTCCTAGAGACTTTCGCGCCACGACTTCCATTAAGAACAGGCGGTGAACCCGTTCGCTGAGGCGGCCTGCTCTGTGCCCACACTGCGCCCGCACTGCCATTGTCCGCCCTGTGTTCTGGGAAGATGCCCGCTCGCGTTCGCTTGCGCGTGAAATGCGGTAATGATTCGCCCATTAGGCCATCGCGACCGCTTGACACTGATCCCTTTACTTTTGTGCAATCTTCCTTTCGGCCAAAAGAGCAGCCGCCGCAAAGGAGGCCGCGTTTTGCAGAAGCGTCTCGTGCTGCAAAACCCATCGGAGCGAATTTCCCAGAAGATTTTTGCACGAGTTCCATTTAGCGACTCTGGAGCTCAAAACGCGTCCGGGATTTCGGCCGCCTCCGCCGGTCTTCTGGCCCACTGTGCCTCGTCGCCACAGAATCACTGCAACACTAATGCAATCCGGGCCGACCGAGGCCAAGCAAGCCTTGCTGCACACGCGCTCCCTGGGGCGAACCGCGGCCCGTCACCACGACATGTGCGCCCAAATGACAAGAGACCGAATCAAAACGTAAAGCAATTTGCAGTGGGGCGGGGTGCGGACGACAACCAAACCGGAGGGACGCCAGGGGTACCAAGCCAAGCTCATCTGAGGCCGGGTTTTTATGCTTCTATTAGTTTGTGACTACCAAGAGCTAGGTGTTCCATGTCTAGAGGAGAAAATCCCACAATCTTGCCTCAGAATCTTCTTTAGGTAGGCTAAAACCACGACAGAATAATGAAGAATTCCAAACAAACAATCTATATACACACACTAAATGTTTAGGTAGAATTTTGTGCGTGAAACCCACACAATTTTGTGCATACGTGGAATATGCATAATATTATGCGTGAAAATGCACGAATTTATGCAAATTCACGCACAATTTTATGCACGACGGTACGCAGGTTTAAAATTATGCATCACCACGTACAAAATTGTACATAAACATTTAGTGTGCAGCGAAATGTTGAGCGAGGGACACATCGGGGACACCCATTTGACCAAGAACATTTTCAGTTCCAAGGTTATTTTAAAATTTCGTGAGGTTTTTCTGGAGAGAGTAGAAGCTGTCGATATGTATGAAATTCATCAGTCCTGGCTTGGG